CCCCAGCCAGGAGAGGCACGCTCTGCCCAGCCCTGCCCCGAGCCGGAATCCACCCAAACACCACATTTTTCCAACCAATTTTTTTTTTCGTCCTCATTTTCCACCGTGGGGAAGCGACCCACAGCTTAGCCCCGCACATCACTGCGGTTCTTCGCCGAGGCTGGCAGTTTGTGGTGGGTTGTGATCTTCTTTTTACCTACCTTGAATCCCTGAGCCCGGCAGCCTGCAGAGAGCTCTCCCGGGGTGAGGAGCCCAACTCTTTAATTGGCTCATTAATGGCACAGGGAAAACTTTGCGCCTGTCACTGCTCCTCGAACCGATGGGCAGACASACATTGCCGCCTCCCCATCCCCTTTATCGGCTCCCAGGCCCTCCGTCTCACATAATGGGGGGTGGGGTGGGGTAGGGTGGGGTGGGGGGGGAGAGGTTGGTATTAATGAAGAATCCCTAATTTGTGGCTGAGAAATGCCTAATAACTTCTTGATGGCTAAAAGCCTTTTAACACAACTTCATTTCTCTCCAGCTCCCCCTTTCCCCCCTCCCACCCCCGGGGCTGAGCCCTCCCTTAATGCCACTCACGGACCCGCCTCGCTTCCCGTTGGCCGCCACCACCCCGTGCTCGGCTTCCCACTGGCGGAGGGGGCGGCTGCGTCACGCGGACACATTCCCACCCCTCTCCCGCCTCCCCTCTTTCCCTGTGTCCGCCCTCTGACCTGGCGGCGCGGCCGAGGGGAGTGGGGACACACAGACACACACAGACACACACAGACACACACAGACACACACAGACACACGCACCCCTTCCCCCGCGCGTACCTGTTGGGGGATTATTCGCATTGAGGGGGGTACATTTTGCCCATCGCCTCTCCTCTGGGCTCCGGAGGTGAGTGGCCGAGGTCCCGTGGGACTGTGGGTTGTGAGGATCGCCGCAGTTTTACAYGCCCACGCACATTTCCTCACCCAAAGCCCACCGAGCGAGTGGTCGTCTCGGGAGAAAAGGCTGCGGTCACGTCCCCTGCTGCCCCCCTTCCCTTACACCGCCAACTTTAAAGGTGACCGGTTCACCCCCGGCTGATGCACTGCGGGACAGCGTGAATCGGATCCCGCGGCGGAAGGGAAGAAAAACGGAAAAAGGTATTAACTAATATTCTTGATACACGCTGGAGAAAATCCCAAACCAAAACAATAAAGAATCCCACGAACAGGGAAAAAAAAAAAAAAAAAAAAAAAAAAAAAAAAAAAAAAAAAAAAAAAAAAAAAAAAAAAAAGATGTAGGGTTTCCTTTTCTTTTTTTTTTTTTTTCCCGGGGAGCGGGACTATTCCTAATCTCGCGGGTCCCCTGGGGAAAATAACCCTAAAAAAATGACGCTGCTCCTAAAACTGCTGGCTTCTGAAAAGAGTGGATAGAGCAGAGAGAGAGAGTGTGCCTGGAGTGGTGGCAGAAGGGCTGCAGAGTCTTTCCTAAATCCATAGCGGGCTCTCAAAAGCCTGAAATAATTTCCAAACCAGTCAGTGCGACACTTCGGCTAAAATCATTGYTTGAAATGAGATTGTACTGACAAAGCAACAGTCGGAGTATTTCGAGRAAGAAGAAACGGTCTCAGTTTTCTAAAGAAGAAAAACGTCGATTCAAAACCCTCAAAATTAGCTTTAGAAGCACCCCATCCCTTTTGCTCCGGGGCCGGCTGCAGCGCGAAATGCAGGCTTGMAGAGCAGACCGTCTGCTCGCTGCTTATCACCTTAAATCTCCTCTCGGTTAAAAGCTTTCCCTGTGTTCATTTGGGTAAATAAAGGAAAGACGGAAAGAGAGGCATTCAACAACTCCTCTGGGTGTCCAGGCGTCTACAAGCAGCAGAGAAATGTATCCACGTARTCTCAAATGTTCTTTTGATTGTCTTGTTTACCAAAGCGACTCGTTGTTAAACAAACACGAACGCAAGGCATTTAGTGAAGGTATGGATTTAAAAAAAAACCCAAACCAACAAAACCAAAGAAATAAAGAAAAGGGGAAAAGAGCGCACCCCTCCCYACCTCCTGTCACGTTGTAAAGCGATCGCTGCTGTGGGGGAAAGTGATACTGAATTTAAGAAAATCTTCCCTGTGCGTTACTGCCCTCAGGTGTAAAGTGGGTTTGGGGACGGGGGGAGGGAAGAAAAGAAAAAAAAAAAATCTTCCTTCTGGTTTTCATTTGAGGTAATTCTCTTCCTCAACGGCACTGACGTCTTTAGGAGGGTATTTAGACATATGGGCAACAACTGGACTAACATTGTCAGGTAGCTCACAACTTATTTGTCAACAAGAACCAGAGAGAATGTCTTCTATAATATCCTTGGTTTGGGAAAAATAAATAAATCAGTAGGATGCACCTCTGCTATTTATACCAGGGAACATGAGCATCCACCTTACCAAACCCACACTGCCCCAGTGAAGTCCGTAGCTCACCGAGGACCCTCTTTGCCAGTGCACCGGGACTCGGTTTCTCTCCCGCAGCCCGGGTGGGTGTCAGCGTCCGCATCGGTTCCTCCCTGGGGCCGGGGTCTTGGGCTCGACGAGCCCCTATGTAGATTTCGAATGTATAAATGCTACGGTAGATAAAGCACAAGATGTGATAGGACCAGCGGCCGAAGGGCAGTTATTCAGCTTTGGAAGTTACAGCAAAGTCACCTCTCCACAGAATTACCAGCGCGGGGTCAGTACGCTAGGAACATTTCCCAACAGATTTCAAGAGGCGGTTCCCGAATGATGGGAGAATTTGACCATTTCAGAGACAATAACCTTGTTTTCCTTCGTCAGRAACAAGCGACTTCTGCAAGCGGAGATCAGACTTGGCACTGCCCYGTTCCAGGTGTACAGGCAAAGGCAGCCCGCAGTAGCTAAATTCGTGGTTTTCATATCAGCCGAGAGCCTGCTGTCACCGGCCCCGGTGAAGCCCGTCTATCCCGAAAGAGGACTGCATGATGCTGTTGAACAAATCAAGTGAAGGCACCCCTGCGGGATGCCCGCACCTCGGCTTCTCCCCGGCGTACAAGCCGTGGGAGCGGAGCTGAGAGCAGCGGGCGCCGGCGTGGACACACCTGCGGGCCGAGGGGACGAACCCCGGGGCGCACGGCGGCTCCGGCCCCTCCAGGCGGAGAGAGGCACTCCGACCGCCTGAAGCAGACGGATAGCTGTGCTCAGCTCAGACGCATTGGTTCTCGGGCAAGAATCTCCTGGAAAACAGATAATACTGGAAAATTGAATAAACAGGTACYGCAGCGCAATTTGATTTAAAAAGGCGCATAATAAAATGGTGTATCTGAAGAAAGGCTGYGTGAAAACAAARCGTTTCACAGACAGGTTTCCAACTRTAGYAGAAAACTTGTGTAGGCAGACACGATATGCAGCATATACTGCAGCATGTGTGCGTGAGCGTGTGTATGTGTGTGCAGAGGGGGAGGGGGAAAACAAATCAAAGCAGGAAAAAAAAAWGAAAAACCCTACTGGACCATTTCCCTATAGGACAGATCAGATCCAGTTTCTTCTCCAGCACATTCGGGCGTACTCTTATGTATTTATTAATTTATTAATTTGGATGCTCTTATAAATCCCCCCTAAAGAATAAGGTGGCCATTTCTTATGCAGAGAGAAAAAACTCTTCGAACGTAAGCCGTCACTTACACACCGCTTTCGTTAATGAGTTAACGATGCGGGTCGTTCTCCCGATTTCTTAAAAAAAAAAAAAAAAAACCCCAAAAAAACCCCCCAAAAAAACCGGCCTGGTATTAGTTACGGGCAGATTTCCACTCGTCGAATCTCCCTCATTTTTGTACCGGCGAGAGGCGGGATCCACCTCTCACGGACCTTCACGACCGAAGGAAGCGCCCCGTCACAGCATCGCCTGTCCCTGAGATKCGGTTCACTCGCCCAGCCCCGGGGGTGCCTGAGAGACTGCGGGCACTTGGAGACCGAGACTGTTTTTTCAGAACTCGGTAACTTCAGACACACGCACTTGGGTAC